CGTAAAACTTAAACTTTAAGCCTTAAGCCTAAAAAGTTGACCAATCATAATCAAATGTGAGGAAAATAATCGACTATAATTGTCAATTTTTTATGGCTTAAGATTTAAAGTTTAAGTTTTATACCTTAAAATCTTATTGTAGATATTTTGCAACGTTATGCAAAAGTCTATGCTGTGGCATTAACTGATTTGAGGAAACAAAACAAATAACGGAAACAAAACAAATAATACAGACTAATACAGACATGATACAGAAATATACAGCTAAGTAAAATAATGGCGTGATTAATTGAAAAACTTTTCTGAAAATCTGCGTAACATAATATATCTTCAGTGCAATATTCTATGTGGCTACTTGCATAACATTCCTAACGCAGAGCATGCTCAACAAAATAATATGATTGCTAATTCAAATTAATTCTCGGTTCAACGAGACGATAAAAGCATTTCCACATGTCGCACGCAACGGTAAAACCGACACTGATGCATTCAAGGTTCGTGTGTCATTTCAACGATAATGTATATAAGCGTATTTTGCCAGTCACAAACGTATGTGTCGCCAACGTACACATTTCCCGCGTCCCGATAAAGTGTCGTGTACATTTAACAAACGCATACACAAATGTAGACACAAAGAACACGCAGGCTAAGAAGTCTGTAGTGTTACTTTCCTCTCTCACCTGCTCCATGACCTCGGGCGCCATCCAACAAGGCGTACCGACGAAGGTGTGCCGAACCTTCTGCCGGCTCAAGTCACGTCCGGTCGCGAGCCACGCGCTGACACCAAAATCGGCGATCTGCACTGTGCCATCCTCGCCTAGTAGGATATTACCCGCTTTTATGTCCCTAATATTATTCTGCCGTTAAAATTTGTCTAGATACGTAGAGAAAATAAAAGAGTTATATCTGTAGGATGCTTACTAAAATCTTACAAAAAAAAATTCCTTTTGAAAATTCCCGAATTTTCCAAATATTTTTATTTAAAAGTCCAGGTAAGATTAGAAAACTTTTCAATGCAATTTTGAAATAAACTGCAATACAAGTAAGGCAAACAAACTATATATTGTAAGTTAGAAGACGGGGATTCTTAACAAGACTATATAAACAAAAAAAAAAGAGATCAAAGAAACAATATTTTACATAGAAAAAGCACAGTTTTTAAGTAAAATTCAAAAAATTTCCCTGAATACTGATAAAGCCTTAACAATTCTTGATTGTTAAGGATAGAAAAGAAATTCCCTGAAAATTCCAAGTTTTTAGGCTTTTCGAAGTATAATAAACACTCTGTATACAGCCCATTTGTATTTTTTAAATGATACAATTGCACTCTAATAATTAAACAAGGTAAATAGAAAAAAAGAAAACAGTACCGTTCTAAGATTGTAAATAAAAATAGAATAACATGGGACAAGCGTATTTCATAATACCTGTGTATCTGTCCGTTGCTGTGGAAATATTCAAGTCCCTTGAGTACTTCTCGAAGTACTGTAGCTATAGTGGCCTCATCGAATACTCCATGCTTGCAATTAGTGGTTCTGGTTTTATGTTTGATAATATCCAGCAGAGATCCACCTTCTAGCAATCTTAAGACCAACCAGAGTTCCTCTTTCACCACGAACGATGTGTAGTACGTCACGACGTTTTCGTGGTTGCAAGAAGACATCGCCTGTATCTCTTTCTAATATTTCGCCATATAAAAAGCCTCGATTAACAATAACTTCTTATATAATAATCATAATATTAACTACTTGTCTGCACGTTAACCTTACATTTACAATCTGGGTCTTTTTCGGTATAAGCAAACTCACTGTAAAATTTTTCCAAAGAGACATAAAAAAAGAATCCGAATTTCTTATTGCTAAATTATATATTTTTAAACAAATTTTTATTCCTCCACATTTTTACTGAAATTTTAATTTTTATTAAATTAAGGTTTTAATGTTTGAGTTAAAAAACCAAGATTGCAGCCGGGGAAGTAAAACTTGATGGCAGATAGATGGTTAAGTAAAATAAAATTTACCAGTTTAACTTTATTCGTGAAAAAGGATTTATTCGAATATAAATTTATCTCGAGACTACATTTTTGGAATAACATTTCGTTGAGATACGAATTTAGCAGTATCATTGTGCTCAATACGAAAAACTTGCATCATGCTGGATGCAGCATACGTTGTAATCGATAAGCTCGTTAATCCAATGAATCATACAATTTATAAGTCTTATCAAAAGAGTTGTGGATGTGTATCATATTGATTCGTCGCTGCGTGAAGTTCAATGTCAAGATTACAATAAAACTCACCAATAGCTCGTCCATGTTTGTGTTCCATTTTTCCAAGTTTATTCGCTTGATCGCGCATTTCTCCTGTCGCGGAATGCAAAACGCCGCGTGCACTACAGCTGTCGCTCCAACCCCTTAAATTTTAATAAAAAGAAATTAATAAAAGGAATTGTTAAAAGAAAGGACCTTGCACTGACCATGTATGTATGAAAAAAAGTGGTTTCAGTCGAATTGGCTGAAACTGTAATATTTTGTAAATTATGAGATGATCAAAAGTTTTCTTATTGTTAGACAAAACCATAAAAAATTATCAGATTGTGCTCTAGAGAGCATTTTTGATGGTTTTGCTTCAGAAAACTTTCGATCAGTATCTCAAAATATCAACAGTTTCTGCCAATTCGACTAAAATCACTTTTTTCATATGGTTAATGCGGAACCTTATGTCATTACTGTTTATCCGGCTTATCGACGCACAAATCATAATATTTTACGAAATGCTTCCTTAATTAAACCTCCGTGAGATTTGGAAACTCGATTGTAGATCTATTTATAAATATATGCAGCGAATATATTTTAGAATGGCTGAGAGACGTTTAAATTTTAAGCCTCGATATTTTTACTCGTTACGTAGGCAATTTATGATTTTAATAAAAAAATTCGGCGAATATTTTCTACATGCCGTAAAATGCGGTTAAAAACAGTGCAATATTAGCGTTGGCAAGCCGCTAAATAATTTAACTCCGCTAACTTGCAGCTAGTCTTCTTACAAATATAATACACAATCGGTGAAACGGCAGGAAGAAATCTAAAGTTCTTCCAAGCTTTAAATGATTTAATAACATAAAAAGTTATATTATCCAAATATTAATGTATACTAGCGAATAAAAGACATGTTATATCAATCCTATTAATCCTATTATATCAAAAATCAAAACACTATTTAGTATCTAGTTCTGTCGCGATAACGATCACGCAAATAAGTACGTAGTTCTGTCGCGAGGCTTTTGTGATCTCAAATAATCAAAACAAACCCAATATATTAATTATACATTCTAAAATGTTTTATTTTTTTTTTTTAATTTTGTGACCAAATACTGTTTTCTAAATAAAACTAATTTTTTAAGGCTATTTTTATGGAAAGCCACATTACCATGTTTTTCTTCGAGTCATTATGCAATGTCGCCACATTTTTTTATTAAAAGTGTCCTAAGTAATAAATATTTCGTAACTTTGAGTCCAGAATCGACTCCACAACATTTTAACGAATGTAATTGTCAAGTTTTAAACTTAAATATTGATTATTAATAAAGTTATTGTGTAAAATGTAACTGGGGTGCCATAATACTACCTTCTCTATATGCGTTTAAAAATGACACCTGATTAAGTGTCCCAAATATACTGACAATTCAATTTTAAACTGCTTTTATGAATATATAAATTATAAGTATTAATTGTATTTAATTTTACTTATTTTCTTCAGATGACGTTTCACTAAAACCAAACTTTAATTTTATAATTAAAAAAAATTTGAATTTTGAAAGTTTTGATTTTTATCCAACTCACGTTTATTCTTATTAAGAAATGCAATAAGAGGTACCCCCAGTTATGGAAATAAATAATTTTAAATTAAAATTAACAGAAAGTGACATTCAAACTGTTTTAGTATTATAGGCTTGAAAGTAAGTAAAAAATGCAAAATATTAAATAAATTATATATAGCTAATACAATATAATTATTGATGTCAGTAATACGTTCATGGTATTGGTGCTGTTCTTATTACTGTCAATAATTTTACGGACATGAATTTAAATGTGAACATAATATACTGATATGATATTGTCGCATCCTCGCGATATCTTAACTTCCTCGCCACATGTAGGTAATTGACCTAGTACTGTGTTTATTTAGATATCTAGACTCAAGTATAACATTCTTAAGTACATCATCTTTAATAAAAGTGATACTTAATATAAAGGTAATTTAATTACTTATATATACCCAGCAACCTATATGTATCAAATACCTGCTGTATGACATGCATGCATGAAATACGTAAATATACAATACGTTTTATATCTATGTTATATGATAGAACTTTCACACACATAATTATGCGTGTAATTAATTTCTTATTATATAGGATATCGTCTTATATTTCGATTTGTTGTCTGGAATTATTTACAGCACTCAGGCCAGTATTTACATTAACATCTCGAAATTTAAAATTACCGAAAATTAAGATAATGTTCCAAAATCTCAAATGTGCGACAATGTCCTGAAATGTCAGATTATAAAAATTTAAGATAACAATCACATGTGTTTCGAAAAGTTATAATTTCAAAAATAGAAGTATGAAAAACACAAGTAAAATTAAATTTTTTACTTCTAATAATTTACTGTTACACTAGCGTGTATCAAGTGAAAAGATGTAATATAAAAATGTAATAAAATTTTTCACAATTTAGAATATTTTATTCGGGAGACACGGTAGTGTCTCGGCAATAAGAGAACGCAAGACTGTCTTAAATATAATCTTAAGATATTATAAGTCAATCACAAATCACAAATCAATGGACAAAGAAATGTTAGCTCTTTTCTTTTCATTGGTCAAATTTCAATCTTTCCATCTTCAATCTCAATCTTCAATGTGTAATCTGATACCGACCTTAGAAATGTTGATCTCGGTAACTATTAAATTTAATACAAGATAAATTACATTTATAGAGAAAAATAAATTTTTTTTTAATTATAAATTTTATAGATTTTTTGTTAAATTAAAGCTACAAAAAAGTCAAAAACTGATCAATTAAAGTGTTATCAACCAGATATATACTCAGTTAAAAATGTTCTTAATGTATCAATAAGTGGACCATTTATCCTATAACTCAACAATTCTGTCATTGACTACATTCAGCAGAAAAAGCAGCTTCACAACTGTTGTAAAATTTTTCAATATGATTGGTTTATACATTTAAATGCATAAGGCCGGAATCAGACTACGCATTGGAGAATGAGATTGAAGATTGAAAGATTGAAGTTTGACCAATCAGAACAAAAGAAGTCAAAATTTCTTTGTCTTTATTGGTGAAATTTCAATCTTTAATCTTCAATCTCAATCTTCAATGCATAGTCTGATTCCGGCCTAAGGAATTAACAAGGCAAGAGGTAATCGTACTAAAGAATTTTACAACAGTTGCAAAACTGCTTTCTCTGCTGAATAAGCAATTATTTTTTTTTTGTTGCTCGCAAAAAGAACAAAAACATAAAGAAAAAATATAATTTTAAATAGAAATAATTTTTAATCTACATACTTTCATTCCTTTACATTATAATTTGATACAATCAGTTGCTGTATCAAAATTGTATTTCAACATAACAATTACAAAATTTTAATGATTTAAAACATTTAAACTCATTTATTGAAATACTGCTGAGTTCTGTTCAGTGTGTAACTGTAGCAAATTGTGTCAGAATTATTACATTTGTGAATCAAAAGACAAATTTGTTTTGCCAAAATAATATCGTTCATTGTATTTCTTTCTAATTTTATATTTTCAGGAAAAAAATCTTGAATCTTGTACCACGCAAATTGCTTCGCGTACAACTTTGCTCGTCTAGCGCCCTATCGCCCCTCGAATCTCGGTGCGTGCATCCGGCACTGGCACGCGCGAATTGTCGCAACAGTCTTCGTCTTGTTCCGCAGCGGCAGGTTAACTAGGTTAGGATAGGATGTGCTATGGTTTTCTCGTGCAGTAATACCGGCAGCCGCGTGACAGCGTGAGTGCGAGAAAGATACGAGGAATGAGAGTGAAAATTGCAATTGCCAAACTGTCATCGTCCTGAAGCGGGGAAAATCTAGAGCGACGGAACGCGATCGAGTGAGGCTCGATCGACGAGCGGTAGGATGCGCGAAACGGCTCGTCTCGCTTCGCAGAGATCGTCATCATTATTATATCCTCGTCGTCCCGCGGCGCGTTATTGTCAGGAAGACGACGGCC